AAATTCATTGGAGGAAAGTATTTGAATTCAAAGAATTAGCATATTATAAGGATTCAAATTCCCTTGTTATGACTTCTTGTTAGGTGTAGGAAAGGGAGCAATGATAATAGAGTTTCTCTGGTGTCAACATTGATTTGTTTGGTAGATTTCATTCTTTTGATTCTCAAATTGATTTGTTTGGCAGATTTAATTCTTCTGATTCTCAAGTTGAAAACATATAGCTTCAAGGAGGAGCATATGAATGATTTAATTATCCAGTAACCTGGTTTTCATAGATATGGAAGGATGAGACTTAGACAACTATTTCCATTGAACGACTTAATTGTCCAAAATGATGAAGTAAAAGAAATGTGTGGCGATGATTTTTTTTCCCGAGAAAACCAAAAGCAATCTGTTCTTGATGTTATCGCCACTAAGGACCAGGAAGTCTAAGAATTATTGGACCCAGAGGAACCTTGCAGATTGTGCAGTAGTTGTTGAAGAACTCATGTTTGTATTCTTATAAAGTGAAACTACATTTACTTAAGGTAGGATACTATGGATGGGAAAGCAAATATTTATGTATGAAGTTTGTATTCTCAAACATATCAATTATGCTAACTAATAGTGCTTCATTCCATTAATCCTTCTAAATTAGTATTGGGCATTTTCCTCTCGCGCATCGCGCGTCGTAAAACTAGTATTGAAACAATCCTATCTAAGATAGTTTGGGGGACCGGGAAAACTTGAAGCCAAAAAGACTGGACTCCTTGGATCACATACCTTATTAACTCTAGTTTACCGGCATAGGAGATCGTTTTGGTGTTCCAAGAGTTTAGAAAGTCATTTACCGTATTAAGTAGGGGAGCATATTGAGCCACGGAGATTCTTAGCGGTGCTAGTGGGATTCCAAGGTATCTCACCGGGAATACTCCACGACCATAATCAACGAGGTCCAAAATGTTCTGCAATTCCAAACCATTAACCCCACCAACGAAAATATTGGGTTTATTATGATTAACTCTAAGGCCCGATGCGTCTCCAAACTCTTTAAGAGCATCAACCAATATTCCAATGGAATATTTCTCTCCTCTCGAGAAGAGCACGAGATCATCCGCATAGGCTAGATGAGTTATTTCCAAAGAGCCACAAAGCGGGTGGTGTTTAAAACTCGAATTCTTAGTTTTGGTGGTAAGGAGGCGCGAGAAATATTCAAGGCATACAACGAAGAGCAAAGGGGACATTGGATCCCCTTGCCTAATGCCCCGCTTACCTTTAAAGAAACCATGCAATGTACCATTCAAAGAAACAGAAAAAGAAGCGGTTGAGACACACTCCATAATCCACCCCACAAATCTATCGGGGTAGCCCAAACCCCTAAGAACATTAGCAAGAAAATCCCACGAGATAGTATCATAGGCCTTTCGCAAATCCACCATTATCATACAACGAGGTGAGATTCGCTTCCTATTATATCCTCTAACAAGTTCTTGGGCAAGGAAAATGTTATCAAACATTAGGCGGCCATCCACAAAAGTACCTTGTGCTTTGTTAATCAAACCCGGGAAGGTGGTGATCATTCTTGCCGCAATAATCTTTGTAATGATCTTGTATAGCACATTAGTACACGAAATAGGTCTGAAATCCGAGACCTTAGGGGAGTGACTAGTTTTAGGAATAAGTGTTATAACAGTATGATTAACCTGTTTAAGCAGCCTTCCCGAGTTAAAGAACTCTTTAGTCGCCCGAATCACATCCTCCCCCACAATATTCCAATTTTTCTTAAAAAACGCCGAGGAATAACCGTCCGGCCCCAGTGCCTTGTCATCCCCAATATCAAACAAAGCATCCTTAATTTCTTTGTTAGTTATTGGAGATAATAGGCTATCATGATCACTTTGCTCAATCAAAGGGCCGGTTCCTAGTACCGTTTGGTCAATGTAATGGTTTCCCATCTCGGTGCCAAAAAGATCAACAAAAAATTTTACAAACTCATTTCCAACATGATCAATAGACGTACTGAGGTTACCATCATCCATCGTAATGGAGGTTATGGTATTCCTAGCCATGTTCCTTTTGACAATCGCGTGGAAGTATCTTGTTCCCTTATCGGTCTCAAGGATATGTCTAGCTTTAGCTCGTTGTTGGAAGAAGTTACATTTGGCCTCCCCAAGGAAAGTAGCCCTTTCTCTCGCCTCTTTTACCCGCTCTTTAAGCTCGGCATCATTGGGTGAGTTAAGCAACAATCTGTTCAACCTTTTGAATTCATCCTTGGCACTTTTTGCCTTCGTAGAAATGTGACCAAATTCCAACTTGTTAAGTTCCTTAAGCGGCTGTTTTAGCATCTTAAGCTTCTTAGCAATTTGAAATTGGTCCGTTCCATGGATATCCACATTCCAATTCTGCATCAATATGTTAGTAAAAGCGTCGTGCTGAATCCACATGTTAAAGAACTTAAAAGATTTCGGCCTAAGAGAGGTATTATTGAGTATAGAAACCACGGTAGCCGTGTGATCAAACTCAACCTCCATTTCATCAAAATGGGCCTTACATTTAATCCCCCACTGATCCCAGGTATCATTGAGTAAAACCCGATCAAGCTTAGCCCATAAAGATCCCTTATTCCAAGTATAGAATTCTCCCGTGGAGGGGGGCATCTTGAAGGCTAGCACGGATTTTAAACTCAAGTAAATCTTAAAAAAAATCTTGGAATTGCTACTTGTCAAATAAGTATCACCACGAGCAAGAAGATTATTGGTACGAAGGAGAGAATCACAAATATGGCAATAATATGAGTCATAAGTTTCAGTGGTGTAGATAATCGAGATAGAGTTTTTTTTTGCAGAGTACAACTTATTGACCTTTATCGGAAGGTTAAATAATGAATAAGAATAAAGGCATTAGATCAATTTAAATATCAGACAATCTTTTGTACTCCGTAATATATATATATATATATATATATATATATATATATATATATATATATATATATATATATATATACACACATACATACATACATACTAGTATGTGTACCCGTGCACCGCACGGCAAAATATGTACTTAAAGTTTTTATTAAAATTGTAAGACAAATAAATTGTATGTGAATTTGTCAATCAAAGTTTAAAAGAAAATTCACTTGACTGTGGATAGATTTGCCAAAATAAGTCAAAATCCCTAGGGCTAGCCCATTTCAACCCATTTCATGGTGGGTAAGAGTTGTCATTTTTTTACCCAATGAACTCACTGGTTCTGTGAGTCAACTTGCACGGGTTGCATGTTAAGTGAGTTGACTCATGCAGGTTGTGAGCAAAGCAAAATATAAACATATCTTTTTTTAATTTTTTTGTCTTGATGGTTTACTACCAAATTATTTTCAAATATACCTATTATTTTACAACCCTTGTTCAACTATTATTTCTATATATAATAATTATTCAAATAAATCACTAAAAAAAATTACTCTAGCACATATTTTATGTTATTGTTGAATATAATTTCTTAACAATTAATAGTCATTGTTTACAAATGTTAACTCGAAAGATGTAAATTGCATCTTTATTTTGTACAATGAATGTGTTTGATAAATACTCCTTGCCTCCCTTTACCCGATAAGATTCTCTAATTTTTCCCTTTCGATCCGTCCCTCTAACACTGTATCATACGGAGTACAAAATTAGGTAGCGTTTGTGTGGTTTTAAATCAATCTTGTTTTATTCTTACTTTATCAATTCAATGTCATCTACATAAACTCATTATTATTTATAATCGTGTCACCACCTCATGTCTCAATGTTAGTGGGACAGATGTACTACAATGTAACAGTTATCAAATTTAGTATAACAACGATTTAATAATATTTTAAATTAAACTTATCAAGTATTGTGTGCTTAGTATTTTAGTTTCTTATATATATGTGTGTATATATATATAATTTGAATGAACAAATGAGAATGCAATCTCCGAAGAGAATTAGAATGAACCGGAACGTTGAATCGGAACGTTAGATTTAAAACTTGTGCATTATGTGAAGTATACAAATATGTGTTACCATAAATAAAAAAAATGCAGTGACATTTTTTAAATAAATTAAACCTTTCATGTCCATTTAAATATAAATATTTATTTATATTTGACTACCAAAATTTATTCAAATATACTTATCTATATAATATAATAAAGCAAACCCTTGGAGAACTCTTTAGATGAATTCTTGACATGTGGAAACATCCTTTGTGTGCAAAAATGACATGTGGCAACACAATAAATTCAAGAAAAACTATTCAATTTCCAAAACTATTCAATAAATATACTTATTATTTATATTTATATATACACATCTATAAATATAAATACACATATATAATATTGGAATACATAAGAGTAAAGTTTTGATGGAGTGTTTGGAAGTGTTAGTAATGGAAGTGTTAGTAAGTGTTAGTAAGGGCTCGGAAGGGAAGGGAAGTGTAAGTGTTAGACATAATTTTACCTTGTTTAGGAGAGTCAAATGAATGAAGTGTTAATAATGGAAGTGTTAAAGAAAGAGTAAAGAAAGAGTAAAGAGAAGAGATGAAAAAACAAACCATCAGACCCGTGGGAAAGACATTCGAAGTGAAATGTCGAAGCATTTTATGTTTTTCGGGCAAATGAGAAGGGTAATAATTGTCCAACACCTCAAAACACTCTAAATCGGGGTGTTAAAAAAATGGACAATTGAGGTGTTGGGAAGGTTATTATTAACACTTCCTAACCATTACTAACACTTCTTAACACCTCTGGTTTTTTCTCCCAAACAAGTGTTAGCATCAACACTTACTAACACTTCCATTACTAACACTCCTCAACACTCAATCCAAACAGGCCGTAAAAGTTTATCTACTAAAAGTTCATTGGTCTAATATGATCTTGTTTGATATGTTTAAGTCTGATCTGATTTAGTCTCGCACCGTAAACTGTCCATAACAACAACTATTACTCTAGTCTGGTCCGGTCCGGTCCGGTCCGGTCCTACGGTAAACCGTCCAAACACCCCCTTTACCGCTCATCAGCTGCCCCTCCCTCCCCATTGCCGCAAGTCTGGAACTTCACTTCGCCATTTTAGGGAACGACCAGTACGCTCTTCCTCTAAGAGTATATACATACGGACTGTTTTTGGAGTAGTAGGGATGGGTAAAGCTTCGGAGAATGAAACTCCGTCGTCGGAAATAGCCATACCTGAGGATTGGTCCGACGCCGCAGAAACCATAGCCCATAACTCTGTCTCTTCGCCCCCACCAGTCTCCTTGATTTGCGGCCCCAAGAATTGTGGCAAGACTACGTTCTCCCGCCACCTTCTCAACGTTCTTCTCAAAAGGTCTTTTCCCCCTTTTCACTGTACTAATCTTCACATTATAATATAAGGAGTACTTCGTATTATTATGTTGTGCTCTGTGTTTAAAGAGAGTGAAACAATTTGATATTCACATAATCATTGCAAGCTGTGGTTAAAGTGTTGTTTGAACTTCGAATTTCAGCACAAACATGTGTGTAAGCTTTCTCGAACATTTGATGTAATAAATTAAGTGACACGCTGGAAATGGCCCGTGCTAGCCTTTTTCTAGTCCAGTCACGTGAAATCAATAGTGATGCGTGGAAGGGCTTTGAAGTTGTTAAGTTTTCTTATTGAATTTGACTGCCAATATCTTTATTCAGAGCGTCATTCCTTATAATCTATATTTAGTTGCTATGGATAATGGAGTATTTGCCAGTCATCTGAGATACTTGCTTGTATGTTTTCAATAGTGAAGAGTTAGTTAATGGGAGGAGATGTAGGGACATACACAGGCAAAGCATTTGCTACATGCGGAGTTTTTAATCTTTTATGCCATTGATAGTTGATAAACTCCACAATGTTTAGCAGTTTAGGTGTGGAAGTTGTCACTTTCTGATAAGTGGTAGGTTTTGTATCATTTGACGTTATTATTGTTTAAACGTGAATATTTACTTATTATTATTGGCATTTCAGGTACAAAAAAGTGGCTTATTTGGATACTGACGTTGGACAATCAGAGTTTACACCCCCTGGTTTTCTGTCACTCACAATAATAGACAAAATATCTGCTGGTATACCCTATACCGAGTAATATCGTTATGTGAATTGATGCACACTTTACTGTTCTGTGAATAATCTACAGGCGTGTTAATAGTATACTTTATTGTGCCTTTTTCTTTATTCCCAGATTTCACAATTCCATGCCTAAAAACACCAGAGAGGTACTTACCCCGAGCTTTGTTATAAAGTAAATCTTACACTAAGATATGCACTTGTAATAGTATATACTTGGCTGCAAAACGACAAAATGTATTATGACTCCAAAATCCTAGAGAAAAAAAAGACTACACTGAAATATTTTGGAGATGAAGGTCACAAAACATCCTTGTATGCATGGATGAGGCATACCCCTTGAGGCGTAGGCTCATGCAGTTGAGGTGCAAACTATAACCATTGCTTTAGACCCTTATTTGGGCTGTATTTTTTTAAATTAATAATGTCATTTTGGTTATTTAGCCACCCATGGACTGGCCCAGCTATAATTAACAGAAGTAAAAAAGTGAGGAAAGGAGACTTACTTATGTTAAGACTTAAGAATGCTTATGTGAATGCTAAAAGAGTAAAATGGATTTATAAGATTTTGGGTTGAACTAGTCCACTAGCTAATCCATTAAACCCGATCATTTAGTGTGGACCCTAAGTTCCTTAACAGCCAGTTAATTAACCCAGATTCTATCTATGCTATTGAAACAGGTGTTGGTCCACTTCGTTTGTTGATTGTTTTTGTGCAAGTCCAACCCCAACTATTCGTTCTCCAAGTGTTGTTGCCTCTGCATTTGAGTTTCAGTTTAGGGTGACTCAAATTGCAATTAAGCAACCAGTTAAATTCAAAATAATGTGGCTGTCCACTTTTAGTGAGTGTTAAGACTTAAGACTAGTGCCACATTTAAATACTAAAGAGAGTAAAATTTGTTTATAAGACTGGATTAACTTGCGCAATACTAATTTTTCATTTTAAAATTTCTCTTCCAGATGCTATTTCTTTGGCGACATTTCATCGAAAAGGGACCCAAAACTCTACCTGTCATATATTTTTGCCTTGTATGATCATTATCGGGAAAAGTATTGCATGCTTAATAATAGTAATAGCGCTTCTAATGGTGTGCCTGTTGTGATTAATACTCCTGGCTGGGTAAAAGGTTTGTTTTGCTTTGTTTCAAATTTATTTCTGTCCATCATTTTAGCTTTTTTTTGCTTGATATTTGATAGAGGTATTTATGCATTGCTATGTTTCTCTTGCAACCCTAGGCATTGGCTATGAGTTACTTGTGGATATTCTGAAGTATACATCTCCTAGTCATGTCGTGAAGATTTGCATATCTTCACAGAGTAAGAATCTACCCGAAGGAGAATTTTGGTTGGAGGAGGGGGAAGCTCCACTGACAAACCTAATTGAGATCAATTCAGCTCGGCAGGACTCCTTACAAAGATCGTATGTTCCTTCTTTATTTTTAAAAGCATTATTAAAAAAATGCTCAGTGATAAATTACTTCCACCTTGATTTGTATCTGTTGTTGTCACTTGAAAAGCAAGAAATTTAGTTAGCACTAAATCTATCACCTCTTCTAAAGTATGTATTTTTATGTGTTTTTTAAGGATCTTGGTGGGAAAGGATGCACCATTTTTTAGAGACCTTCGGATCATAGCTTATTTTAGACAATGTTTTCCTAGTGATGCAAATATCACCACAACCAAGGAACTAGCTCACACATTAGCTGCACATCCTCCTTATGAGATTTCTGTATCAAGCATCACAATTAAGCACCTTCACTGCCAGGTTTTCTCTGATACTAATATGTTTCTATGAATGATCTGAAGAAACTGAACTGGGAGTTTTCTGAATGACATTTCTTTTGGTTGAATGGTTTGTTTTATTGCACTCTCACATTGTTTTTCGTTAATTATTTCACAATTTCAAACAAGCATAAGAGAGTGCTGATTAAAGGAGAATAAGGAGATAAACTTTAACTTCTCTGGTGAGTGATGATGCACATTAATTTTCATGTTAGGTGCCTATGAGTGAGGTTTTCTACAGCTTGAATGCGACCATTGTTGGCCTGGCAGTTAGTTCTGAAAATTCAGAAGAGATGCCCCACTGTGTTGGTTTAGGTTTGTTACTCAAAAACTTTATTTTATTTTCTTTAGGGGGACGAGGACTGTTTCTAATAGGAAGTCAAGAGGCACTAGCAAATATAATGTTATATATATAGTTTGGTTTCAATAAAAACAATGCTTCCAATAAAGAGGCACTAGCAAATATAATGTTTTATACGGAGTATATATATATATATATATATATATATATATATAGTTTGGTTCCAATAAAAACAATGCTTCCAATAAAGAGGCACTTTTGGATCAATTTGATGCACTATTGCATTTAACTAATGCACTTTTTCGCGGAGAGAGAAAAGTCCCAAGGATCACGGAAGCCAGGAGAAAGAACGCCGGTGGGACAGTTCTTGGTTTCTTCTACTAGTAGGATTGTTCTAGGCTGGTTGTGTCCGCATGTATCCAAACTGTCTTGTTGGAAGTAGTGCATCTCGTTTTTCAATCCTTATATATTTTTTTGTTCCAGATTGATGTCAAATAGAGGTTTCAAGTTTCAACGAGTAATGTATTTTTTGTACTTCAACAATTAATAATTTGTTCCTCTCGTTTAATAATGGATCAGGAATTGTGAGAGGCATTGATACCTCCCGACATATCCTCTATATTATTACTCCTGTTCCATGCGAGAGTCTGGAGATGGTCAACCTTTTGCTGCAGGGGTTTATCCAAATTCCTACTCCTTTATTGCAAGTGAGTTTTGCCTCCTGCCTTTTCACCGTTTGAATCGTTCTTGTTATCTTTTTTTTTTCTCATTGCTCACTTTCTGTACCTTGCCAAAAATTAACAATCACACAAGGAGATAAAAAGCATATTCTAGGAAAATGGTAGATGCACAATAAGAAGTAAACATGATGAAAATATCTTTAATATTGCAATCGAGCTTTTTCTAGATGATATTAAATGGGGAAGAGATGGCACAGCGACTCCATTCACTCTTCGAATGCACCCTATTCCTTTGACATTGCCTATTTTCTTCATTCATTTGTGCATCAAGTAAACTCATTTTAAATGATCCCAGAATCTACTGTACAATTTTGTTGTTCACCTGCTTAAGCATTAATTGTGTCATGAACTTGTTGGGGTTTAATGTATACAATTTCATGTGGTTTTCTTCAGGTGCAGGGCTGTATATCACCTTACATGTCTGCCAATGTATTGCCGGCATGTTAGGAGATTATTAGTGATGCTGCTTGTAACATTGCAAACTACACAACTTCTCTTCACCAACTTATTTTGTATCGTTTTAATGTAAGGTCTCCGAAAGATAAAGTAAAAAAGTACTATCAGAGGATTGAACTCCTAATTAAATATACCATTCTTCATCCTTCTCTAGCCTCTTATATGGACACTCTATTCTTGCTGTCCTTATTTCTTTAATGTTACTTTCCAATCATACAATGTCATCTCATCTGGTCTAAACTCCATATGTGGTTCGAAAATAATTTTTTGTAAGAAAATATTGATAGAGAAGTGCAATAATGAAAAATGATCTATATCTAATAATATAACATTACGTATGTTCCTAGTAGTCTAGTACGATCAGTTTACAGATACAGTTATATTGCAAATTTGTCCTTAATGTTTCCCTAATGGAACATTTTCCCGTAGCGTTACTAGTGAGTAGTGACTAGTGTCTGCCTATATTTGTAGATTGACCATATGAAAATAAAAACACCATTGTAAATATAAAAAAGAGCAAAAAGAAGTTGAATATATTATACTTGGAGTATAATATAATCATCCTGTTGATGTATGTAGAAACAAAGCATGAAGAAGAACAGTTATCTGGAACCACAAAGGCGGATGATATAGTAGGTAAGGAAACTGCACGACACTTCATAACGCTTCAAGGCCTTGCCTAATTTGAAGGCTCCAGCTAGCCATGGACTCGGGTCGGGCCGCCCGGACCGGAACCGGCACTGTTTGGGCCCGGCCTGGCCCGGTACCCGGTCATAGGACCGATCCGGGCCACCCGAACCGGGAGTTAAACGGGGCGGGCTCGGGCCTCCTAAAAGTGGAACCGGCCCGGCCTATTTCTTTGTTTTTTTTTTCCATTTTTTTTGGTTTCTCCCGGGTTGGTCTGGGTGTTTTGGGGGGGTTTGGGGTGAAGGGCGGCGGGGGGGGGGGGGGGGGGGGGGGGGAGGTCGGGGTTAATTAGAAAAGCAAAAGAAAATTTTAAAAAAATAACATGAACCGGCCCGACCTGAAACCGCTGTCTACCCGGGCCGGTTCCGGTTCTTCCTTCCAAATCACCTTAGCTTGTTCACACAATTTTCAAAATCACCTTGAAATTTCTTTAGCTTGGGCTGTGCGGGCAACTCGGCTTGACAACCCTAAAATGATATGACCCATTCTTTGTTGCGCTTTCTCTAAGAAGTCATTTCATATTGTTTTCTGAAAATATGGTAGTTTTTCTTCGTCCATTGGTACCATTCGGTAGCATCATGTTTCAATTAGAATCTTGTACATGTAATTGCGTAAGTGTTGGTCATTAGGAGTGCGGTGAAAGTTGAAACTTTTTTGTAAAATATTTATCTTCTCCATTGATTTAGGCATATCTAAATGCATTGTAGTGGCAAGGTTGAAAGCAATGCCTCTTAAATTACAAGAGGAAGCCAATGAAGAGTACAAAACAAGTAATGGCTCATCTAACACAAGGATGAAGCTCTAATAATGTAGAATATAAAATAGTTGATAAAGCTTAACAGTTAAACTGGGGGTGTCACGCCTCGCATTGTCAACTATTGAGGAAAATATTTTATGCAAAGCATAGAATACACTTTCATTGAATTTAGAGGAAAATCATAAACATAACACTCTAGTCGATAAGATCTTAACATAAATAGACAAGAGCGTGAGTAGGGAACATGAGCTGGTCCTAGGGAAACCCTAGGCGGCAAGCTTTTGCACAATTTAATCTTCTGGCTTCTTCTCTCAGATTCACAAGAATATTGATGATTGTGATGTTCTCTGAACATTAATGAATCAAAGGTTTTGCTATGTTGTCTCTCTTTTTTATTTCTATCTTTATGGGTTCTGATTTTAGTCTGACATCTTCTTTGACCGAGAGTTATGTCCGCTTCAGGTGAGCGTGAGTTTTTTCTCCTCCTAACAATGTCTAGAGGTTGTATCTTCCACATCGGTGTAACTGATCGAGCGGTTCATCATTCATAGTTGGCAAGACATGTTCAACCTAGTTCTTCTGAAGATTCAATTAATCACCCTCCTCCTGAACCACCGCCTCACTCGAAGAAAAAGATAGCGCTCAACTGGATCTCCTTTTTTGTGGCTGGTCAAATTGTGGCTGGTCACATAAAAATATTGCATCTGCAAAACTTCTAGCAAGACTTATTAAGGAATCACCATTCACCACCCGACCAATCAAGTCTATATGACTTGTTACTGCTAGACAATTTGCATCAAAAGTATATGATGAGTATTGCATATTTGTTGGGATCAATGAAAAGCATCTCTTACACCATGTGAAAAATAAGTCTCGGCTAAATTCACATTTAAAAGAATATTAATGATGAATATCACATTTATAAGAGAGTTGATTTTCCTTTCATTAGGGAGATAGGAGAAAGTAATTCTCTCATTGAATGATAGAATCATTATGATGGTACATCACTACTTTGTCTCAACGATAAATCTTCAAAATGTAATATAAAGTAAAAGTGATTATAATTGCCATAAATGATTAAGTGAACAAAGTATATACATTAGCTGCAAATATATCTATAAGGCTTGAATCCAAAGTAAAAGGCAATGCTAAAGGAAGAAGCATTGCATACTGCTTAAATAATGGGATTGTGGTTGAGGTTGTGACTCTCTAAAGGAATAGAGATCAACCACGTGGTTCGATTAATTATCCACCCCGAGTAGTAAGGGTAGATAAACCACAAATCAATATACTCGTTATCATATGAATTCCTTTCATGCGATTACCCTCTAACTAAACATTTTCATGAATCAATAATGGGGAACACCCGAAGTTTATATGATTCCAGAATTGAAATCTTAATGCCAATGAGAGTGTTTCTGAGTTGAAAGACAAACCTTACACTTATATTAATGATATATTTATACAGTTGCTCAAGAAAGTCTAATAGTACAATAATATCGAACCATACTCTATTGCAATATGAAAGTAAATATAATATTGGCCTAAATGCGTGCAAGTAATCCATGCATAAATTTAATATTTGACAAAGAGACATGTATTTGGTTGGTTGACCGGGCTAAACTTGCAAGTGTACAAGTGCCGATATAGTAATAAATTCCGGTAAAATACCGGGTCGAATCCACAGGGAAACGTTGTTTAATTTAGTCCGAGAGTAGATGACTTTAAATAAATAAATGAGTAAAGTGCAGAGATTTTGAGTTGTGTGTTGTTGTGAAAACAACAACTTGATTCTTCTTTTTAATTTTCAGAGATATAACTTACATTAATTTGATTAAAGTGATTGATAACAACAACTAAGGCTTCGGGAATCACTTAAATGCTTTAATAGGGTTGAATATTAGTTCTTTGCCAATAATTATGAATACGATGTCGCTAATATATTCTCAACTCCGGTTAAGGCAGCGAGAGCGTGGTTTCCGTTACGTGTAAGTCCCGTTACGACTTACATTCATCTACCGAAAACCCCGTTGAATATCAAGACATCACACCTGTATCATATAATACCGGATATATTTCTATTCTCGGTAATATATATGTTTATCCTTTAATGTTCATAGTTTAGACCTCAACGTTAATTGCAAGTATAAACTAAGTTTAACATACTTCTATGTTGTACACCATAGTCATAAACAATCAAAATGTAAAGGATAAATCACAATTTATTGGTTTAGAACTTTTATCAAACACCTAGTGGGCATAGAAGTTCATCCCTAGCCTTAGCTAAGAACTTAGCCTCTAATGCTCATATTAATTACAAAAGTGTAACTAAGAATAATGAAGTGCAATAACATACAAGAAATAATACCTAGAACCAATTGTAGAGGAGAGAAATGGCTTCTTCTCCAACACTTCAAGAAAATGCAAAAAGGAAATATAAAAACTGAAATTTAATCTTCAAGAATGGAATGATGATCTTGTTTGATGAATTGGGGACTTTATATAGGCTAAAGATTGGCATCTTTTAGTCTATTCGAGCCCAACAATCAGGCATGGAAGATATATTTGATCAGATCATGAGGAAGGTGAGTTTTTCCCATCAAGATATGGCTGCACGTCTCTTTGTATTCTGCAGATTCGGGCTTAACCGGCGCCGGTTTTAGGCTTGACCGGCGCCGGTTTTACTTCGGGGCTGAAATAATACTGAAAAACACCATAACCGGCGCCGGTTATAGGGTAAAACCGGCGCCGGTTATACGTCGGCCAACCGGGAAAATGGCAGATTAAATGCAACCGGCGCTGGTTTGGTGAAATTCCGGCGCCGGTTTTGTCCTGGGATTTTGGGGATGTTCCGCTACGAATTTGGACATGAGTCCTTCACCAAAGTTGTAGATAATGAAGTCGTCTATCCACCAAAACTTGAATGACGTGATTTTATTCATCCAATCAAACGTTATGGCTAAAACACTGAGAGGTATGCATCCTGAAATCCCACCAGCAACATCTGACTTTGTTGGTTGATAGAGTCTTGTTCCTTTCATATTTTGGCCATGACGTCTTCATAACATTTGTACCTTATTGAGTTAGCATTCACATGAAACTCGAATCGAGTGATTTCGAGGTCTATAGAATACGTTATACTCAAATTATGGGCAGAACGTCATTCTCTTGGTCTAAAAAGTCATTCATCGCAATGTTTTATGCTCTAGCTCTCATTTTGGAGGTATTTGCCCGATTTCTCTTCTTTTCTTCAACAAATACTTATAAATACTTATGTTAAACACAAGTAAATATAACGGCTATCATTGGTAGTGCAAATCTACCAAGTGCAAAGCTTGTTGGACACAAAATGATTCTTTGTTAGAAAGCGAAATGAGATTATGAGGTCTTGATTATTCTCACAACACCATGGATTTAAACATGAGAAGTTATACTTCCCTATTATGAACACAAAAAACATTCAGTTACTTAGTCTTCAAGTAGCCTCTAAAGTTATTGAAATGCATCTAAAGAATGTGGTTACTAAATCTCTCAACAAAATCAAATTTAAGAGATACATATGAAGCATATGTTTTGCTTCGCTTACCCCAAAATCAAAATTATTCTAGATCACATAACTCAATTATATTGAGTTGTTCACAATTGGATTAAACCAATTCAAACGAAAGTGACCACTTGATTGAGATAGGATGCAAAATGAATATATTAAGCCTTAACCCATTTAAAAAGGAAAGAAGTTCTGAATTTCCAAGTATCATTGTATGTCAAAGATATAGAAATAGTACGTACTTATAATGAAATATGTGAATCATAGATACTTGAAATTTGTAATTGAGATGAAGGATCATGAGAAACTCATACCTGTTTTGAAATTAAACGCTGAGTTGACTGAAGACTAATTCACCACCTGCATTTATTCAAAAAAATTCTCAGGAAAATTAACATGGATAAAACAATTTGTCAACCCTCCCATAGTTGATCGAAATATGGATATAAGAAAGGATTCATTATTGAAAAGTTAATTGGAAAAAGATTCTATATGTAAGTGCAAAGTGCACATTATTGTACTTGGACAAGCATACTTGATCAAATATTACATTCTCAAGTAACGTGCGCTATTCGTTTTTTAGACTTATCACTTTACGTTTGGCACACATGTGGAGAATTAAAGGAAGTGTATTTATGCATTTGTATGCCTTCGTTGAGTTAATTAATGTGACAAATAATGGAATGCACAAACTTTTCAAAAACCCTTGATTATTGTAAATATTAATGGTAGATATAGACTTGAGGAGGAGTTCCCTACATGCGTTACGTTACACTATTTTCCTTTAACCATGTTTTATTTTTTCCACTGGGTTTTGTTACATGATAAGGTTTTTAATGAGATAATAATAAGTATAAACTTTAATGATCAAAAGAAGGATCAAATAAAGATTGGCTTAATGGAAGAAGTCGATTATGATGTTTCTCAATTCAAGATTATTTTTTCCCACGTTTTGAAGAGGCAACAAGACACATAATTGATATAAAATATGTAAATAGTGTCATTCTGTGTAAGCTATGTATTACGGGTCATTTGTCCGTTCTTGTAAATCCTAACTTTTCCATATTTAAAGAGCATATGATAATGAAGCTACGCACTGATTCTTCCTAACATAAACATTAAATTTCTATCCTTAATACACCTTATACACCTAATCTAATTAATTGCTCTCTAGTTCCCTTGCATAATCGAGCAGTACGTTGGCGGTAGGGGGCAAATCAGCGGAGGCTGGATGCGGGAGGTTGGCGGTGGTGGCCAGTGGGGGGTACTAAAAAAACTACAACGGTATATTTATCCACGAGCATAATTAGTTTTATTTGGGGAAAGTTCCCCGAAATAGGACTAAAAAAGTTTGAAAATTCCAAAATAGGACTGTCATGTTTTTATTCTCAAAATAAGAATAATTACTACCAAGTTTGGAAAATACTGTCATGTTTGAAGTCTGGTACTGCCAAAACATGACAGTAATTAGTCCTATTTTGGGAATAAAAACTTGTCAGTCCTATTTTGGAATTTTTCAAACTTTTTAGTCCTATTTCGGATAATATTCTCTTATATTTAAGGAATTTATAACAATGTACTCTTATCTTTGGATTTACCTATATTTTATTCCTACTATTTGGGTAATTTCAGTCTACGTTTTATTTCCTGTCAAAAAAATCAGTTGATGTCTGGTAAAATGTCCGCCATGCAATTCCTTCCGGTGCACAAGTTGTGGAGCTTCAAAGCTGTCTGTACATATCTCCAATCCACGCCACCACCTGATCCTCTTTGGCACCCTTTCGAGTTTCGACGGGAATGTCACCTTTCTCGTCTTCTTCCGTAATCAACCTATGGATCAAATAACGCTACACCACACATTGCGTGAAATCTGAAGCGAGGGGTCATGAACTACTGCAATTCAAGGATTCACTCACCCACGACCAAGATCATGATCTGGGGTTACCTCGGATTTGTTCTGTGCGTTGTTGATGTTCTGTCTCCCCCAAAAGATTCAAAATGACAACGCTGTCGTTCAGAAGTTTCGCCGAGCAGAATGTGGGCAGACACGGGGTTGCATTGATTTACGCTGCTCTGGAATTTTTCATGATCGTCTTGCTTCTTCTTGACGGGTTTCTGGCCTTCTTCTCCACCGAATTCGCCAAGCTTTTCGAATTAAGACCCCCCTGCGTATTATGCACCAGGATAGATCGCTCACTGGTTCATCATAGAAACTTGACTTCCTATTGGAGTGGCTCGGTCTGCGAAGACCACAAGAGGGGCATTTCCTCCCTCGCGTATTGCCATGCCCACAAGATGCTTTCGGATATCAGAACCATGTGCGAGGGGTGCCTTCTCTCATTTGGAGGCAGCGCCACAAGTTGTGACCGGTACTACAAGTCTCTGGTGGGATTCCTGCATAAGGATATCGACTGCTGCTTTGTTGTTGACAACAATGATCCCAGAATAATTCCACCAAGTCTTTGCAAAAGAGATTCTTATGATGGAAGTAATTCTGTGATCCAGAGGTGCTCCTGTTGCGGGGAGCTTCTGAGGAGGACGAAATACGTGAGGAGTGAGTCTTTAAAAGCCCCCATGGCTCCTCCCCACACCCCTCAAGCTTGGGTGACAAATACTGGGGAAATAAGCAGTCCCGACTTGCCTCTAATTTCTTGCACAGATGAACTCAAGTGGATCTCCAATGGAGATGATGACTTGAATGGAGGTAACATCTTCAAAATAGCACACTTACAGTTTTCAGTTTTATTAGTTTTTGAATGTGTTGTGCATACCTGCTGGCTGCACTTCAGGATTCCAGTCAACTCTTGCTAAGTTAATGGACATGAGCGGGAGGGATTTCAGATATAAATTCTCTTACTAGTTTTGTTATGTATTTATTGGGATGATTATAGAACAATGACACCGTATGGCTCAAATAAGAATAAAGGACAAAAATGTGAATTTTACTGCAGAGTGCAGAGTGAAGGTGATTATAATTTTGCAGTAGTTGCGATGGCCTTGGGTGATATTTCATTTTATTGTGTAGTCACTATGGTGGTATTTTTGGAGTGACGGCAGTGACTGTTGTCCATGAGTCAATATTTTAGGAAAATGTCACAAATAATGACAATGTTTTTTACTAAAACATATAATATGGTGTTATGCTGCTGCAGGTGGGGAGACTAGTAAACCCACGATAATGCCATTGCTACCAGAACCTGGGGCACTGCATGAGGAGGTCTGCAAAACCCCAAGCTGCAGCAGATTGAACAAGTTTTTCGGCATACCTTTGTCAGATTCAAGTCAAGTTAGTCCTAGATGGTGTAATAATAAAAAGTCGAGAAAGATGTCCATTGATTTCCTCTCAGATCTCAGTGAGATGAATGATGATACGAATGAAGGAGACGATGACATTGTATTTCGTTTGAAGAGGCAGGTTCTTTTGGAGCGAAGGTCTCTCATGTCTCTCTACATGGAGTTGGATGAAGAGAGGAGTGCTTCAGCTGTGGCGGCGAACAACGCAATGGCAATGATCACCCGGTTGCAGGCTGAAAAGGCAGCTGTCCAGATGGAAGCATTGCAGCATCAGAGAATGATGGAGGAGCATGCTGATTATTACCGAGAAGAGTTGCAAGTAATGAGGGATTTGCTGCTAAAAACAGAGGAAGAGGTAAAGGTTCTAGAAACTGAGCTCGAGATGTACAGAGACACACAAGGAGCAGTGATCTATAATATAGAGAGTGAAATATGTGAGGTTGATGCTGATGAAGATTATCAGAGAATGAGATCTCAATGCATCTCACCCTTTAGTGAGATATCAGAGTCTGGAAACCGAGTTGTTGAAACAGATCATGATCGTGCATTACTTCCTGAATATTCTGGGCTGCATGCGAACCAGGACTTGGATGATTCATCTCTAGAGACTGAGAGGTCTCGCCTTCTGTCATTGCTGTCAAATATTGAAAAGAAAATCAGCATCCCATCAGATGAAGGATCGCTTGTGGAAGTGACATCAGATAGAGTGGAAGGGCGTGATCCACAAGGATGGGGTAATTCAATTTTCTTTTTTCTTTTACTTTTGTTGTTTAGTTGGTACGTTATTACGGACAATGTTAGAGTCCCACATCAAAACTTTAAAGAGAAATGAAGGGTTAGTAAGATATGGGTTGAACTAGCTAATAAATTGGGTTCCATTTTTTAGCACGTGATTTGATTCAAGTGCATTATGACACAGTTAAGTGATTCCTATCCAATCACTACTTCCTTGCAATAACCAGTAAACTTTGCGCTTATGTGCCTGCAGGAAATGAAAAAAATAGTTGCCTTACTAGAGAAATGTCATCCATCAGAGAAAGATTGAGAACCATTGAAGCAGAGAGTGACTTCATAAAGCATGCCGCAGTGACTATGCAAAGGGGGGATGAAGGGATTAAGCTTTTGACAGAAATATCTGACAATCTACGAAAGCTTAGGGCTCTATGAAGACATCCCCGGACCCCAACAGGACTTACAACTCAGTGATCATCTCAAACCAATTTTGCCACTTTTTTTTGCTTGATTTTAGTGTCAACTAATTTTAGACGGTTATTTAATTCAAACTATGAATTTCATGCCACTGACAACAATATAGTTGGGACTGATGGTGGTGATCCTCCAAACCAGCACTTCCATCATCCATCTGCATTCTCCCTTCCGAATTAGTACCATCAAGCATCTGTATATGCCTTTAAACATTGTAATATTATCAGATTATCAAGATTTTAGCTTATGGTTTTCACATTTGAGAAACAAAAATGGCGAAAAAAATATGGTACTCTCTATAGAGTATAGTTAATATTTACAAGGATTATTCAAGGATGCAGACTTGCTACGTAAAGTGTGGTATATTTCCAGTGTAAAGTTCATCAATTAAATTTAGGGAAAAGGTGCAAATAGGCTCATGTACTAACCAAAAAAGGTCAAATAAGCCCTTATTTAGGAGGCTCTGTCCGGACGTCGTCATTTCGGGTGGTTCCCGGTGGAATTTTTTGATGCAATTTTTTGAGCATCTTGTTTATCAAGTCTAGTTTACTCATACCAAATTTCAGCTAAAACTTCAATCGGGAAGGCATTCAAATGAATTCTTGAAGATAATTGCGCTTCTAACTGCGCAATTATTTTCAAGAATTTATTTGAATGCCTCCCCGATTGAAGTTTTAGCTGAAATTTGGTATGAGTAAACTAGACTTGATAAACAAGATGCTCAAAAAATTGCATCAAAAAATTCCACCGGGAACCACCCGAAATGACGACGTCCGGACAGAGCCTCCTAAATAAGGGCTTATTTGACCTTTTTTGGTTAGTACATGGGCATATTTGCACCTTTTCCCTTAAATTTATGATTGGCTGATGGTACCAAGATTTTGCCTTGCATCACAGCAAGGAGGGTCCTAAGATTTTGCATCACAACGGCCTATCAGCCAATTTTTGGCTGATTTTACTATTATTTGACTTTTTGACCAGATAATCCACTAATTGATGTGTTTGGTAAGTTGGCTTTTTCACTTGACTTTTATCTGAAACAGCTAAAATGGAAAAAGCTAATAAAATTGGCGTTTACATCCTGGCCGTTTGGAAAATTGCTCGATATCCCTATTCTGCCCAGGCATCTCCTCCTCTTCTTCATGGGTTACTTCTTCCGTTAATTAAAAAAAGCAATCATGGAGAAAGCTTTCTTCTCCAGTTAGTACTGACATTTCCTATCCGTTTTTGCTACCAGGTATTAATTTTTTCTTCACATAAAACCAATTCATTTTTTTTAAAAACAACAAATCATGATTAATTGATTCCACCTTTGTTTTTATTTCCCACACACGTATATATACATAACATCCCCAAAAATTTGAGAGCTACTATTCCCCGAAAGATAAAGTGTGTGGTGGATGATAGAAATATTTTGGAAAGAATGGCACCATTATTACCTCCCACCTTTTATTAGACCAAAATATGAGTGGATTTTTGTTTGATAAAAAAGTGACCGCTAAACCCCGTTAACATTTCGTTTCTTTCCGTCTCCCTTGCTGCGCACGAACTTCAGGGACAGAGCATCATCGATGAGAGCAGCTTCTCCACGCACAGAGAAGCCAGAGCAGCGTCCATCCCGTCAGACCGCCGCTTCCTCCGATGCCTTGGCCATCTCCTATCTTCATCGACCGCACTCCGACAGGGACGGCTGCGCCGCTGTTGCAATTCTGATGTCGCTGCTCTATTTGGGGCTAGGGTGAGTCGACTCGCCTTCTTCTTCTTCACTGCGCACTGTCTTCTTCTTCGTCTTCTCTTCTGTGAATCGTCTTCTTCGTTGTTGTCAAGCTTCATCGATTCATTCTGCCGCCCTATTTCAGATCTGGTTTTTTGGGCTGGTGTGACTCGGGCGAGCTGCAGAGGGGCAGACTGGTGCAAGGTAGGGCGCTGATTGGTTGGGTTGTTTCAGGTCGCATAGGGCTGGGCTGGAATCACATGGTGGCGTGGGTTGGGTGGTGCTGAGGTTAGGTGATGGCGGCGTCTAGGCGGCGTTGGGGTAAGGTGGTGGTACGGGCTGGGCAAGGGGAAGGGGCGCTGGGGCAGGTAGGCTGGGGGTGGGGATGGGGAGCTGTGGGAGGACTGGGAAAGCAGTGGCAAGGGACCCGGGGTTGGGGTAGGGCCCCCCGCTGATGGCCGGAGCTGGGGTGGTGGTAGGGCAGTGATTGAAGCTGGGGCATGTGGGCGGTTGTCGGGGCTGTGGCCGGTGGGGCTAGGCAGTGGTCCCTGATGCAAAGGTGCGGTGGAGGTAATGGGCGGTGCCGTGGGCAGTGACCTGCGGCGGGGCCACAGTGCGGCGGCAGCTACGGTGACACGGGCGGTGGCTATAGTGACACAGGCGGCGGCTTTAGTGACACGGGCGGTGGCCGTAGTGACACGGGCGGTGGTCACAGTGACACGGGCGGTGGCCACAGTGACACGGGCGGTGACCGCAGTGACACGGGCGGTGGCTACAGTGACACGGGCGGTGGCTACAGTGACACGGGCGGTGGCTACAGTGACACGGGCAGTGATTACAGTGACACGAGCGGTAGCGGGAGTGACACAGGCGGTGGCGGCAGTGACACGGGTGGTGGCGGCAGTGACATTTGATAGTGACATTAAAACAGGATAGTGACATTAAAATCAGGGAATGACATTAATATGACCTTCTTGATCACTTTTTTGCCCCTTTTTAAAAGTGCTCACTTTTATGGTAATTGGTTCAAAATTAGTAATATTCAAATAAAAACCCCAATATTTTGTCCACTTCCAAGTAATTTAATAAAAAAAGTCATTTTACGTAACATTAATAAAAAAAAATATAATTATGTCCTTAAATGTCATTTGATAAGACATCAGCTGATTTTAAACAGTCATTTAACCAAATATCGTTTTACAAACTGCTAATACTATCGGCTAATCAAAACAGCCAACAGAATCAGCTATCAATAATCAGCCAACACAATCAGCCGACGGCCAACAGCCAACAACCATTTGCCAAACACCCCCGATGTCTTCTCGTTCGGCTGGGGTTTAAATCTAATCTCAAAATAGCATGATAACGGTTCAGAATCTTGCATTACAAGTTTTCAGCAGTAATGCAATCAGTTACACAATCTGAACAGTTATGTATATAGAAATAATTTATTTGTTTGCTTTATCTTACCTTATCTATTTATTTTTTCTTATCTTTTTTCTCTTTTTTGGCACCGATATCATGAATCGATTCATTTTAGCTAACCCCAAAATCATTTAGGAATAAGGCTTGGATGTTTTTGTTGTTGTTTTAGTTCCAATGAAGATTATATGACGACTCATCAATCACTAATGCATATGCGCAGCTCTGAAACTTACATGGATATACATAACAAAGATTCATTGCTGATTTTACAAAATTCCCATATAAACTCTTTTGTTTTCCCTTGTGCTTGGTTATAAGGAAATTTTCAGGGAATGTCATCAATCATAGCTGGGTCTGTGTTTCAATTCATGTCACATAGTCATATACAGATCTCTGTCGAAAACTATACTTATCGCCGAATCCCGGACTTGTTACCGATGCTCATCTACACACTAGTACTTAGTTTGTATGTTACACTAACAAAGATTTTGATCACGCTTGTTAGTTTTGTACTTCTGCTGAATAATGAAGGTTTTGGGTTTAATTTGAAAAGTTTTTTTTTTGTTAGGTTGTGGGTTGTAGGTTTTTTAATCACAAATATATTTCTGTTTTTAGTTGAATTTGCCTTTTGGCTTATCTTTAATATATGTACTCTTGGATGATTCATCTCTAGAGACTGAGAGGTCTCGCCTTCTGTCATTGCTGTCAAATATTGAAAAGAAAATCAGCATCCCATCAGATGAAGGATCGCTTGTGGAAGTGACATCAGATAGAGTGGAAGGGCGTGATGAGTTCGTATACCGTGGGAGCAGCCGACCGTGAGCATGTTGCTCCCACACAAAACGGGTGTTACTGTTCACGCGGGTGAACAGTAACTTCTATTTTTGTTTTGTTCATTGTATAGTAACAGACTGATGTAACTCGTGTGTAAAAAAATATAACTCTCATTAATAAGAAATATAACTGCAGGCAAGTCGAAATGTAACTTGTCTAATACGGATTATAAGAAATAAAACATTGATTTTAATGAAACAAAGAGTCTAATTGCTCAATTACTTTACGTAAATATTGGATATGTTTTGTTTTTAATATTAATGCAGTTAATAATATTTTTTCTTTAAAATCACAATTTTTTTGGCCAAAAAAATCATTTTTCTTTTGCAAAAAGTGATTTTTTGTTTGTTTCAATAGCAGGAGTTTACTTAAATAGTAAATATGATGTGTTTTTAATATTAAGGTCATAAAAATATTTTTTTTTTAAAATCACTTTTTTTTGTTAAAGCAATCATTTTTTGCCAAAAAAAATGATTGTTTTGTTTCAATAGCAGGGCTTTATGTTGTGATGGAAAATTTAACTCGCGTTGATGAAAAATTTACCTTAGATGTATACAAAATGTAACTAGTTAAGACAAGTCTAAATGCAACTCGCGCGTATGAAAATGTAACTCACGCATAAAAAAGATGTAACTAGAGTATATGAAGATGTAACTCCGTATACTATCAAAGCTAATTAATGAAGACAAGGAGTCTAATTGCTCAAATTAATTTACGTAAATAGTTAATATGTTTTGCTTTTAGTATTAAGGCCATAAAATGTTTCAAAGACAAATAATTTTTTTAACCAAAAAATCAGTTCTTTTTGCCAAAAAATCACTTTTTGTTTCAATAGTTGGAGTTTATTTTGTGATGTAACTCGCGTTATGCAAAAATGTAACTCGAGTTGATAAAGAATATAACTTAGGTGTATGCAAAATGTAACATGTTGAAGCAAATCCAAATGTAACGCTCGCATAGGAAGATGTAACTCACATATAATAAGATGTAACTCACGAATAAGAAGATGTAACCCACGCATAAGAAGATGTAAGTTGTGTATAAGAAGATGTAACTCTATATAATATCAAATGTAACTCTAAGAATCATTTATACATGTAATATCATAATTTATCAAATGTAAATTGAAAAAAGTGAATTAATATGAAGATATAATTTATCAAATACAGAGAAGTGTATGAATACAAATAAAAATTAGGAAAAAAGTTTATGAATATGAAAAATTATATTAAAAAATGTATGAATATAAAATATATTATAGAAAATAAATAATGTATGAATATGAATGCAATATACTTATTTTA